AGTTGAAACATTTATTTAAATAAAATAACTAAATAAATAAATAAAGAGAAAACTATGGGCATTCATCTCTACCGCTGACAAGATGTACAGAGAACCAAGTATTCAAAACCGACCTTTCATTTCCAAACATGGCTAATATGTTTAGTATTTTTTATTTTTTTTCATTTTCATAAAAAAAATATATATATACGGAAATGTTTTGTACTGACATTACTTAAGATGGCGATGGCACCGACGTTACTTGTAATGGCGGCGCTGGGACGAAGTGCCTCCGCAACTTGTTCGTCGCAAGTGTTGCCTCTATAACTTAGTTGCGTCGGCTTTTTCTCTCCCTCTGCAACTTCGGATGGCGGTGGAACTGAAGATATTAGAAATGACAGTGTTGAGGCAAAGTGCCTCAGTAACTTTACCACTGCATGTGTTGCCTCTGCAACTTGACTTGGGCATTTTCCTTCGTGGAGTCCATTTGGACCCTTGGTAGGTCAGATCTACTTCGGCCCACTGTTGGGCCACTTCCCTTGGGCTTTAGCCTATGCTCCTTCAATCATTCATGGTCGCCTTAGAAGGGCGACCCCGGCACTTAGGTCCATACTTAATTTGAGGTTTAATTTTTGACCCTCTACAGGTTTAAGTTATCATAAAGTATTTTAGATGGACTTTTATTTATTTTTACTAATTTTTTTTAATATATATTTTAGTCATTTTTTTTTTATTTTTTAGATACATCTAAGTAAGGTACATCTAAAAAAAATATTTAAAATTTTAAAAATATTCATTAAAAAAAACACGAAAGCCACTTTTTGTGACGGCAGAAAATGCCGTCTCAAAAAAGCAGAGTATTTGCAACGGCACCATTTTCCGTCTCAAAAAAGCAGAGCATTTGCAACGACACTATTTGCCGTCTCAAAAAATGAGAGTATTTGCGACGGCAGAAAATACCATCGCAAATACTCTCATTTTTTGAGACAGCAAATAGTGCCGTCACAAATGCTCTGCTTTTTTGAGACGACAAATGGTGTCGTCGCAAATACTCTGCTTTTTTTAGACGACATTTTCTGCCGTCACAAAAAGTGACTTTTTGAGACGGCAAGTGTGTCGTCGCAAATAGTTCCGTCTCATATACCCAGTTTTCTTGTAGTAATTTGAATATAGAACTTGGGCCCAAAAAAAAAAGTATAGATGGATTTCCTTTTGTGGCCCAATGGGCCTAATATTGGGCCACCTATGTCAAAGAACATAATCAAAAGAAAGACACTTTCAAAGTGGAAGAGAAAATTTCAATCATACGTTAGTGGGCAGATATTCAAACTACTAATCTTTTAATGAAATACAAAAGTTTTGGACAATCACGCAAGCCCCGTTAGTTGTATTTATCTACTTAAAACATCTACAAACTCATTGTCTTTCAATCTCACGTTATTTCATATGAATGAACAAAAATCACAATGTTAAATTAGGACAACAGTTCGACACCACTTCGCACTCTGTTGACTTAAACTTAAGATCTCACATTGCTGATATCTAAATGCTCTTTATGAACACGTGAGTTACAACCTAAATCTTGATTTAGTTATAGTTGTTAGCCTACTTGTAATTCGTGTTTTTTATGCTTTTGAAAAAATGTGATTTTGGCAATCACATGCGTACGTGTTACGAATAGTAAGAGAGGCGTTAAAGATAGTATTTAGTTCTTTAGAACAAATGTTAGAATGAAATAATTATTTTGTCAATGTCAATTCCTTCATTTGATTCACTAGAAAGTGATAGAATATACATTTTAGATTAAATCATTATTCATTAATATAAGAGAATGATATTTTCAATAGGAGAATAAGGTCTTCAATTTTTTTTAGACAAAAATGTCCCCTTTACACTTTTGCTTTTACAAGAAAATTTCATTTTTTGAAATTATAATCTCATGGCAAGAAATTCATCTTTTTCTCTTGTCTCTCCTCTGTCGTCAAAAAAATTCGTTGCTAGCCACACGCTTTTACATTGATTCTTACATTTCACCACACATTGGGAATGACCATTTCTACTTTATTCCATTCCAGACTCACTCCAATCTTTATTATATTCATGCCCGAAATTATTTCAGTTAATCAAACCCCCTTAAGCGTGTGTTTGGATTAAAAATTTGGGGAGAGATTTATGTAATTAAACCAAACCAAACTAAGTATTGTGTCTCAATCAAGTACAACTAGCTACATAAATCTTTTTTATCTATTCAGTTCTATTAAGAGCTATTTGCTTAGTTAAATGAAATATATTCATTTTTTTTCCAGTACTACCTTCTATATCAACTTAAGTCTTTTTGTAGAGGAAATTGTGTAAGAAAAAATAAAAATAAAAAAATGAAAAAAATTTACCTTGTATTTTGATCTTTCCTCTTTTTTTTTTTCACAAATCTTATTTCAAATTTTCTATCCAAACACAGACCAAATATATTGTGAGAACTATCAACTCATGTAGCAATTGAGGATTGGTTCCACACGCAAGGGCGCAATGCAACTAGAGCAAAGATATAGGTACTTGATTTTTTACAAATTATTTTAAATGAGTTTCTAATACTATACTATGTGAGTCCCACTTGTATCAAAGTGTATGAAAAAATGTGTAAAAAATTAAGTACATCAAATCTAATCTAATATTGTTGTTGTAACTAACTAGCTTAAACTGATGGAAAAGTAACATGCACATGTGTCACCAAGTAACATCCAGTTGGTGAGAATTCAACAGATAAAGCAAAAGCCACAGCTGGGCACAAACAAACAACCATAGCCACTGTTGGGCACAAACAGACCCACAAAACAACTTCAACACAACCACAAGCAGCCAGCTTCTACTGAAAGGCAGAGTAAGACCAGAACAATTAGCAGACTAGCAGATCAGCAAGACTATTAGCAGGCTCGCAAACCATTAGCAGACAACTTCAACCCTCAGACCCTCTTTTTAGCACAACAGAGCACTACAATAAGGCATACAAATCAACTAAACCTAGCTTGATAGCTTGACAAATCAACTCAATGGCAGCCCCTTATTTGCCTCCAGTTGAGAACAATATCGTTGACAGAGAAGGGGAAGTCCTTGAGAGAGGCTTTGAGCCAAAAAGCTAATCTGACCTTGATGAGTTCCCACAGGTCAGCCGAGTTAGAATGGACATTAGAGAAAACAAACTCATTCCTATGCTTCCAAAGAGACCAGAGGACAACTAGGGGAATGGCTCTCCAAATTTTTCTGAGTAAACACTTAAAATTCACCCCCATCCACCAATTGAGCAAACCTGCCACAAATATTGGAATACACCATTGAAGACCCTAATCATAAAGCACATAGGACCAAATGGCCCAAGAGAAAGTGCAATGTAGCAGAACATGATGAGCAGATTCTAGAGTAGAATTGCAGAAGATGCAAGAGGTGGAATAGTTGTTACCTAGAATGCCAAAATTGTGCAAGAATTCAGATGTTTTAATTCTGTTTTTCTAGGCCAACCAACCAAAAAAGTGGACTTTGGGAGGTAAGGTGTGATTCCATATAAACTTGCACATGCTGAGAGGAGGCCCAAGAAGAGATGTGCTAAAGGAGTATAATGAAGACACAGAGAAGATACTAGAACCAGCAGCTGCAGCAGCCCAAGCCAGAAGACTGTCAACACACTCAAGACTTAATGTAGGAGCAGAGGATAACAAGGCAAATAGTCTAACTTTAACAGTCAATTCCCAAGCATATAAAGCTCTTCTATATATGAAGTTCCAATTACTAAAGCTAGTTTTCGTTGCATAAAAAAAGTAAAGGGAACCAGACTTGGCAGAAGAGAAAGTGAATAGAGAAGGGAACACATCTTTGAGGGAAGTGACTCCACACCACTTATCATGCCAAAATTTGATTTTGCGGCCATCTCCCACCTTGATTAGGCAATTATCCAAGGAGTAGTTGAATATGTTCCTACTCTGAACCCGTATGAATGTAATGTCCTTCCACACCCTAGAATGTTTGTAGGAAGATTTCACAGGAGGATGCCAGCAGTCTACCTCTATCTTATATTTACTACATATAACTTGCCTCCATAGTGCATTAGTTTGAATACCAAATTTCCACTACCATTTGAGAAGCAGACAAGTATTGACATCCCTAATCCTCCTGATGCCCAGACTCCCTTGGGGAACACTCTTTGTTACTTTTAACCATTTCACCAAATGAACATTCCTTTTTAATTCAATACCACCCCACAGGAAAGCAGCCTCAATTTTCTCAAAGTTACGAGCCACACCTTCAGGCATCCTAAAGAGAGAAAGCTAGTACACAGGTAAACTTGATAGGGCAGACTTAATCAGAGTTAATCTTCCAGCGAAGGACAGCATTTTCCTCGCCCATCCTGAAAGTCTTGCTCTAACATTGTCAAGCACAGGTTTCCAAGTTGATTTCCTACCTGGGTTGGCACCTAAAGGCAACCCTAAAAATTTCAAAGGTAAATTAAGCACCTTGCAATGCAAGAGATGTGCAAAACAATGCAGTGACTCCTCCGCCACACCAACTCCAGAAACAACACTTTTGTGGTAATTGATTCTCAAACCGGATAGAACTTCAAAGCATCTAAGGATTCTTTTGATAATAACCACTTGATCCAAATTTGCTTCACAGAAAAGAATAGAGTCGTCATCAAATTGGAAATGAGATAAAATGAGCTTATTAGCTCCAACTAAAACTCCTTTAAGTATGCCAATATTAATTGCCTTGGTAGAAGAATATTAAGCCCTTCAACCACAATATTGAAAATGAATGGTGGTAATGGGTCTCTTTGCCTAAGGCCTCTTTGCTGAGAAAATTCACTAGTTGGTGATCCATTCACTAGTATGGAGATTCGGGGCTGAAGACATACAGGCTTTCATCCAAGAGATCCATTTTGACCCAAAACCAAAACTGGACAACATGGAGAACAAGAATTCCTAGTTTGCTGAATCAAAGGCTTTCTCAAAGTCCAACTTGATAATTAGCCCTTGTCATTTGGCTTTCTTCCAATCATCAGCTACTTCATTTGCAATAAACACCCTATCAATGATATTTCTTCCACCTATAAAAGCTGTCTGAGTCTCACCAATAATTGAGGGCATTATTGGCTTCATTCTATGCACAAGGACTTTTGCCAAAATTTTGTATAAAGAACCAACCAGGCTAATGGGTCTATAATTACTCAGATTAATAGGATTGACAAGCTTAGAAATGAGGGTAATGAAAGAGCTGTTGATACCATAGGTGATCCTATTGTTTGTGTAGAAATCTCTAAAAAATTACATGATCTCCTACTTCATAACTTTCCAATATTTTTGATAGCATAACAAGTTAAACCCATTTGCGCCCGGAGCTTCGTTACCAGTACTCTCTTTGATGGTTTCCAAAACCTCTGCTTCAGTGAAGTCAGAAACTAGGTGGAGAGATACAGAGTTGCCTTCAATTGATTTGAAATCCCCATCCAACACAAGCCTATTCACCCAACTTTCCTTGAATTGATTCCTGAAATGAAGGATCACCTCATGTTTGACTCTACTAGGTTCCTCATAGGACACACCATTTAGTGAAATGGAGTTGATCATATTTCTACTTTGTCTAGTACTTGTAATAACATGAAAATACCTAGTATTTTTGTCCCCCTGCAGGGAACAATTCAATCTGAATTGCTGATGCCATAACCACTCCACCCTTCTATAGAGCTTCCACACTTCACCTCTAACCTCCCTTCTTATGTCCTTTTCTGAAACAAGTAGGTCTCTAGCCATCGCAGTGATGTCTAGTGTATGCAATTCATCCTCTGTAGCCTTAAGCCTAGATGAGGCATTGCCAAACACTTCCGAATTCCATTTCTTTAATTCCAGCTTAAGGTACTTAAGTTTTTGTTGGATTATAAAACCAACCCAACCCACAAAATTAGAATTCTTCCAACAAGTAGTAAAGAGATGAGAGAAACTGGGATGCAAAGTCCAAACGTTGATAAATCGGAAAGGTTTGGGGCCCCAATTTCTTTCATCTTCCATCAACAATAAAGGGCAATGATCTGATATGAGCCGAGGCAATCCCCAAAGCTTCATGTTGAAGTGAATCAACCATTCAGGGCTTAGCAAGACCCTATCAATTCTGCTCCATTTATATGCCTCCTGAGCATTACACCAAGTATATTTTCTACCATAAAGAGGAAGGTCATTCAGTTCACATGCATCTATAAACTCATTAAGTTGTTTCATACCTCTATCTCTTCTGGAACAACCAACTCTCTCTCTCTCTCTCTCTCTCATATGCCTTATCTCATTGAAATCCCCTCCCAAGCACCGTGGAAAAGGGAAGAGACCTTAAGGTTAAGAAGAGTATTCCAAAAGGAGGATCTGCTGCTAACCTCACTAGGTGCATATATATTAAGCAGAACACAATGAAAAGAGTTATATAATGTACCTGAGAGTAAAATAAATCTCCTATTGCAGCAGCTGCCAGCTAATTGGAAAACGCCTAGATCCTAGATGCACAGAAGTCCTCTTGCAGATCCTTCAGGGTCCATAGACAAGAACTCCATATTCCTATTACCCTAAAGCCCCCTAACCACAGTGCCTGAAGCCACTACCTTCTTAGTTTCTTGAAAGAATGCGACATCAATGTGCCTATCTTTTAGGAGGTTTTTAATTCGACCCCTCTTCTCAGGCTTGCCAATACCTCTAACGTTCCAAGATAGAAGCTTCATAAAGAGACAAATTCACACACTATAATTCCTTAGCTACTACTATTACGGCTTAGCCTTACTCTCCTTGATAATTCTCTCTTTGTCCTTAAGCTCCAGATCATTGATCTTATCCATCACTACATCTTGTTTCCCTCAGAAGTTTATTCCAAGTTTTTGCCCCAGTTGAATAGTAGCTTTAGCTTCTTTGAGGAGATGGCTATGTGAGCTTGAATAACCCTTGGAGAGATCTGATTGTGCAAGGGCAGCTGCTGCTGGTCTAAAGATAACATATTTGGAGGTATGTTTGCTGATAGTTGATGCTTTGTGACCATAAAGTCGAGCAAAATGAGAGAAGCCCTCTAGTTTCTTGGTATTCCATAGGTGACTGAGGGTGATAGTAGGTGTTTTGAATTGGCCTTGACTCAAAGTTTTCGACCCACTGGTAGCTATATTTGTATGTGGCCCAGGGGATGTGGAAAGTAGCAAGCCATTTGTAATGGGCCTAATGCTCTGAGATTCATTTGGGCCTTGAGCAAACTACTTACTTAGTGGGTGGGCCAAGTCCACCTCAAGAGTAATAACAAGCCTAAGTCCCTCTCTTGGTCCACTAAGACTTTTGAAAAAATCAGGTGTGAAAACTTGCTCAGTACACTTCTCAGACTTATTATTGCTCTTAGGACAAGGTGCACGCTCCTCCATCATTGCCTTTTTCACACCTGCAGCACTAGGCCTGCTTAACTCACTCAACATCACATTGTGTCTCCTCAACCATTGTGCCCACCTCCTCTTCACTGTAACATTGAATAAGCTCGTTCCTTTTTGCCACCTCATTGGGGAGAAGCCAGAACACCAGACATATCATATCTTGTTACCACCTCATTTTTATCTCCCTTCTCCTTGTAACACTCCTCAGTAGGAGTAGCTTCCACTACCCTGTAAAAATTAACATTAGAGTCGCAATCTTCCACAGCTAAACTAGAGGTCTCCTCTGAATTGCCAAGATGATCTTCATAGACAAGTATTGGGTGTGGTTTACCCTTGCACTCCAGGTTTATGGTTTTGTTAATGAGCTCCATGCACGAAGTAACAACTTTGACACTAGAATAGGAAAATGACTCCGGACGGCTAATAGCACCCTCCAAATTAAGGATTGTCCCCCACAAAAAGCCAATGTTGTTTAGTGTGTTCCTGTTCCAGAGGTTTAGGGGTATACCTTGGCACCTCAACCACACACATCTCTCTTGCTCTATATGGACTCCTGGGTTCCGTTCCAACACAAATAGACTCCAGGCTTGAAACCATTCCTTGATACTATGTATATTGGACTTCATCTCCTCATGGGATTTGAAGATCAAGACTACATCGCAACCTCCCCCCTCTCTGACCACAACTTGATCTAACCCCTTCTCCTTCAGGGCCTTTTTGATGCTGTGAATGGAATAATCCGAGTGCAGCCTGATGAGTACACTTTCATAGAACCAACCATGACCATCTTCATTGACTTTGATGGTCGTGACTGCTGTTCCAACTGCTGATCTTGTGACCTCTTTTAGTACCTTTGCAAACGATTTGTGGCCAATATAAGGTATTTTACTCTTGCTTCTATGTAGGTCAAACGCCTCTCTGCTGGTCTGGGGCTGACCCCTGTTATGCACATCCTTTGAGTTCTTGTCATGAATGACGTATTTCACTTCGAGTACCCTGTCATCCACCAAAAGTCCATTTGCTTTCTGTATGGCGATATCTGAGGTTACATGGCAGTCGTATCTCAGAAAGCCAAATCTTGAGTTTGTCATTTTCCGTCTTTTGAAAGGGATGAAGACATTTTGAACGATGCCAAACTTTGTGAAAAGTTTGAACAATGATTTAGCATCCATTGACCTTGGTAGATTGTCCATAAACATAGTAAATAGACCATTCCTTGCTATTTTTCCCCGAGTTCCGCCTCCTCTTCATTGATTCACCACCAGAATCCAACCGCCATTTCCTCCTATTTCTCCATATGCTTTTGTTTATAGATTCGAAGACTATCATTAAGGATTACCACTTGAATGTCTTCCCCATCAAAATATCCTAGGATTTATAGTTGAAGTGTAACTGCATACAAATTATATGTGATCGTACCTTATATAAAAAGGCATAAAGGCATGCCCACTCAGTTTCTTTTTGTCAAGGGGAACCAAATTGACAACCCCGAATAAGACAATCAACTCATTGGACCTAAAACTAATGATTTAAACCCCAGTTGGCCTAACCCAATGTCACTTGGTTTTTGTTAACAGGCTGGTCACCAACAACACAAAGGCCTATGATAGCTGTAATGGTTCTTTATTTGGGCAACAATGGAAGGTTGGACCTGATCAAGGTATGTTCATCAACTTGGCCATGGAATCTTTTTTTTTTTTTTTTTTTTTCTCCCAAAATTATATATATTTTTTGGGTCTTAATACACTTTCGGTTGTTTAATTGCATCTTAAGATGTTTGTATTTTCAAACTCCTACCATTTGTACCATCTCTGTTTGGATTCAATTTCAAAATTAATTATTTTTTTTTTAAAAATAAATTATTTTTGACAAAATTAAACACTGAAAAGATATTTTTTAAATTTATTTTTGCCTTTAAAAAATTTAAAATCGTATGAAAATGATGAGTGTTTTATATTTATGGGCGAATTACACTGACAGTCCTTGTTATTTGGGATTTGTGTTATTTTAATTTTTGACTTTTCAATTATAATACATTTAATCCTGAATTTTAAATCTTATTTCAAACAAGAATAATTAAAGATATTTCCTTTTCAAACGGTCCTTTTCAAGAATAAAGTTGTCATATAACTTATTTTGTGTTTATTAACTTGTATGTTGCTTGAAATGTATTAACATTTTTTTTAATGAATAACGTTGAAATTTTCTTGGTTATAAAGTTATGTTTGGTTTAGTTTTCAGAATATATTTTCAATTTTTTTTCTAAGAAACTAAAAATTTAATTGGTGAAAAAAAAAATTAAAAACACATCATTTTTATAAAATTTTATCTTTTGAGAGGGTAGAAATAGTTTTTTTTTAAAAAATTAGTTTATGTTATTTCAAAAGTCAAACATGACAACATTTTTGATGTTATTATTAAACAATTCATTAAATCAAAAAATCCAAAATTAAAAATATTTTATATATTAAACATATCGATTACATCCATTATATGATAACCAACAAATAAATAAATTTTAATAATAAATACAACTATCCATTATATGATAATTATCCAAAAATATTAATAAAGACAACCACCCATTACATGATCATCATTCAAACACATACTAAAAATTAATTTGGTAAAAAAATGTAAAAGATTTATTATTTGTATATAATTTTATCTTTGATGGATATAAATAATTTTTAAAAATTCAAAAATGTATTTTTTAAATTTATTTTATTCAAGTTAGTTTATATTTGACCAAATTGACTTTACCATTGAAATGGAGCAATGAAGTTTTCAATTATCTTTATTTAGAACGAGATTCAAAATTCAAAATCAAACGTATCACAATTAAAATATCAACGATCAAAGTGATACAAACCTCAAACTATAAGGACCGTTAATGTAATTCGCTCTTGATTTATTATTATTTTTACTAAATTAATTTTAAATTAAAAAAAATCAAAAAATATATTTTGAAAACTAAACCAAATAGAGAATGATAGAAAATCTGTAATGATTGACCAGAGGTTATGGATAAGGTTATTCTAACTTCATGCCACAAAAGGATGCTCCTTGGGGGTATCATTATTTTCTCAAACTCTGACCCGACATAATTGATTATCAGCCAGATTTAACACAACCCAAAGAAAGTAACCCCTCATTGGAATACTGGTAGATGTTAACTACTTTGCCAATAACAAGTGTCCAAACTATTATGCAACAGGAGTACTATGCATCTGCTAACACAACCTCTAAGTATCAATCCCAAGTACTGGGTGTGGGTTGGCTTACCAACAAGCCACCACCCCCTCCCCCCTTGGTTTTTTGCATTTTAGTTAGTGCAACAACCTAAAGTTATTTTAGAAAGATTGTTAAAAGTTATCTTTTAATTTTTAACTTATTTTGAATCACATCATCTTTTACATTTTTTACACATCATCTACAGACAGCACCTGTATTCTTTTGAAATCACATTTCATCCCCTCTATTATATGAACTCACACTATTAATAGTTTGTTTGGCATAAATTAAATAAGTATACTTATTTAAATAAATGCACTTATTTGGGTCACATTACATCTCTATTTTTCTACATATCTTTTGTAAAAAGTCTAAAAAAAACACTTATTTAAATTATTTCAAATTTTTTTATAGTAAGTTTACCATTACACCCTTACCATCTCCTCTCTTCGAGATATTTTGAAAAGATGATTAAAAATTAATTTTTTAATTTTTTTTAACTTGTTTTAAAAAATCATGTAGAAAATATGAAAGATAATATGACTTAAAAAGTGCCTTCAAACCCACTTCTTAACAAAATTTTACTCTCTCTCT